TATACACATACATACATACATACATACACACACACATATATATATATATATATATATATATATTTATATATATACACACTATAGAAGTCAATAGCTAACAGCAATTGTTTGGTTACAACAAAATATATTCTGTGTACAACGGAAGAAAGAAATCATACAGGTTTGGAACAATATAAGTTAGTAAATTATCTTTAAAGTGATAGTTTCTCCAAATATGAAATTTCTGTCATAATCTACCCGTAAGACTTTGGTTAATCTTCAAAACACAAATGAAGATATTTTTAATGAAACCTGAGAGATTTCTGTCCCTCCACTGAAAGTCCAAGTAATTAATCCACGTCTTATGAACAGATACAAATACTTTATGCAATGAACATATTTAATTTACATCTAAACATTTAGCAAATGTGATGTGCTTCAGATGTAAATAAACTCCAATAAATCAAGTTGGGTTTCATTTCTGTGAGGATTCTTTAAAGTAATCTTTGTGTTTCGAAGAATAAAGTCTTATGGGTTTAGAACAACATGCGGGTGAGTAAATCATTTAAATTTTTTCCCTTTAAAATCTCAAGAGGTATTTTATGTTTTGGGAACCCCTGTTCTATAACACATAACTTTATATAGGTATTAGTGCTCTACTAGTACAAGTACTTACATGAGCTTGCGAGCCACTCCCCACTTGGACTGAACTTGACAGAAGAGACTGCTTTTGTATGGCCAGCCAATGTGAATTTCAAAGTATAGTTTGGCTTCACAGGTGCTGACTGAGATAGAGCAGAACTCACATCATTAATGACACAGTGAAAAGAGAAATTACATTGTCACAGATCGTATTAGGTACATTTCTGTAGTAAGGCTGCTATACGTGTATACAAATATACAAATACAAATGATGTACAGTGGGTACGGAAAGTATTCAGACCCCCTTAAATTTTTCACTCTTTGTTATATTGCAGCCATTTGCTAAAATCATTTAAGTTAATTTTTTTTCCTCATTAATGTACACACAGCACCCCATATTGACAGAAAAACACAGAATTGTTGACATTTATGCAGATTTATTAAAAAAGAAAATCTGAAATATCACATGGTCCTAAGTATTCAGACCCTTTGCTCAGTATTTTAACAGAGTGAAAAATTTAAGGGGGTCTGAATACTTTCCGTACCCACTGTATATGATGTTCATCAATTTGATACTAAGTTTCTTAAAACTCATAAAGATAATTTAGCTCCGGTTATCTCTCATTTAATTAATTTATCATTTGAATATAGTGTTTTTCCTACTGCATGGAAGCAAGCCATTGTTTCTCCTATTTTTAAATCTGGGGATCATTTTGAGGTAAGCAACTATAGACCAATCAGCATACTGCCAGTAGTCTCAAAGGTTGCAGAAAAGGTAGTTCTTGAACAATTGACATCTTATCTTAATAAAGCTTATGTTGGTTTACACTGTATGCAATTTGGTTTCAGAGTAAATCATTCTACTGAAACAGCTACTTTACATTTAACAGAGCAAATAAAATCTAAACTTGACAAAGGTGGAACAGTTGGTGCCATATTTTTAGATTTGCGCAAAGCTTTCGACACGGTTAATCACAACGTTCTTCTCTCTAAATCATCTAAGTTCCAATTTTCATCTGGGGCTTTAGCATGGATCTCATCATATTTATCAAATAGACAGCAATGTGTAAAAATTAAAGGGGTTCACTCCAATAACAAACTGTACAATGGGCGTACCCCAAGGATCAATATTAGCCCCTTTATTATTTAGTTTGTACATTAATGATCTCCCACAGCAGCGCGAAGGGATACAAGTGCAAATGTATGCTGACGATACTGTTATTTTTACACATGTGAGAACAGCAGAGTCAGCAGCTGAAAAGCTAAATGTTGCTATGGAAAGTATTACACAGTGGTTAAACTTAAACACTGGTAAAACAAAAGGGATGTTTTTTTCTAAAATGATTGTGTGTTCTTCCAATGCAGATATTTTTTATAAATGGTGAAAAGATAGAAATTGTTACGGAGTTTAAAGGGGTCATATGATGCGATTTAAATTTTTCCTTTCGCTTTGGAGTGTTACAAGCTCTTGGTGCATAAAGAAGATCTGTAAAGTTGCAAAGACTAAAGTCTCAAATCCAAAGAGATATTCTTTATAAAAGTTAAGATTCAGCCACACCTACCTAAAACGGCCCGTTCTAACACGCCCCCACATACCTACGTCACTATCTGTGAAGATTTACATAACGCCGCCCAAATGTTCACGCAAAGAAAGGCGGCGTACCTTTTATTCTCGCTGTAGTATTGTTGCTGCCACCGCCATTTCGTGAAGGCGCTGTGTGCTTTGTTGTGAAAGCGAAACTACTTTGTTTGGCCTTCCAAAAGAGGACGATATGACTTCGTCATGCCTGGAGCTGATCCTTGGAAATACTTCAACTTCGCGATGTTGATCGCTGGATCGGCTTTCACCGTGGACAAAGCGGAGTCCAGCCCGGGGTCGTCACATGTGGTTGCCGCAGGCATCACAATATGGTAAGGGACGTAACGTTTCCATCACACGCTTGAGGAATTTGGCCAATCACAATGCATTGGATAGCTGGCCAATCAGAGCACACCTCGATTTTTCAGACCGATGAGCTTTGTAAAAATTGACGCGTTTCAGAAAGGCGGGGCATAGAGGAGAAACAATAATGTACAGTATGTGGAAAATAATGTTTTTTTTTAAACCTTAAACCGCATAAACATTTCATTACACCAAATACACAAAATAATGTTATTTTTAACAACGTCATATGACCCCTTTAATTATCTTGGTTTAACGCTGGATGTTTTAAAAAACATGTAAAGAAATTGGTGAGGACTATAAAATATAACTTGATCAATTTTAGACAAATTAGACAATGTCTACCCACTGATGTAGCAAGCCTTTTATATGCATGCTACAATCTTTTCTCATCTGACATACTGTCTGACATGTTGGGGTCAAGCAGGGGAAACTGTTATTAAACCTTTAAAATCTCTTTATAAACAGACCTTAAAAAACTCTAGACAAAAAGCCTAACCAATATCACCACTGTAGGGTTTTGGAGAAATACAATTTTTTGAGCTTTGATAATTTTAGACTTTTCTCAAATTTGTGTATGGTATATAAAATGTTAAATGGTTTAGCCCCTTCTATACTTCGTGATTTTGTGCATTTTCGCTCTACAGTCTCTGTAAGATCTACAAGATCATCATCATCTACTAGTGATTGTGTTGTTCTTTTTCGTCATTCTGCCTTTGGGTTATCATCTTTCTCAGTGAAAGCTATTATTCACTGGAACACTCTAACACAAAAATCATCCAAAACCATGCAAATAACAATACCAAACTGTGTCGCAGACAGGCATTCCCAGTGATGTTTTACCTTGCTCTGGCTGGCGGAGGCAGCTGATGCCGGCTGTGTTTTAGTAGCCTCCGTGTCTGGTTTCTTCTCCTCAGTTGCCATGACGACCAAGTTGGAGAAAATGGGTTTACAGAAGCAAGTTCAACGTCAACCCGACAGTCCAAAAGAGAAGCCCTGATGAGTAGTTGTATGATATTAGTCTTCAGATGACAGAAAGGCTACATGTAAAACTAATAAGCACATGTTGCCAGTCAATTTGTTAGTTGTCACAACATCTTTACAATATAAATATCATGCTAATAAGAGTTCTGCCCTAAGTATATATTTTTAATTTACATACTAATTTCCTTGTAATACTCTCTCTTTCTCACACACGCTCATACAATATTTTTTTTATATAATAATATATATTATATAGAAATATTTAATAGCATTTTGTTCACTTTGTACTGTCCCAATGAAGCTATTTAATGTGGAACATATGTAAAGGTTACAAAACAAATAGTAACTGCATTTAGTTCACACAAATAATACATTTCATTATTATGCTCTTTTGGTGTCAATGACTGTTTTGTAGTCTTTTGTGATAGTGTATGAGTCCCTGGTTTGTTAAGGGCTGTTAATCTGCCCTCTGAAAAAAAGCATCCAGGTGCTTTAAGTATTTTAGTTTCTCATCATGCTCAGTATGTACTTTTAACTTCTTCCCCACTATATTATGTTAAGATCCCCGCTTTACCACTCAGAGGACTCATAGTCACTGATTCTGGAGGAGGCAACACACAATATAAAGCACCAAGGGTATGTAAAGAGATAAAGAAGGTAATAAGAGTCAATTTAAATTATTTAAAAAAATAAAAAATAATTAAATTAACAACTTGTATAATTTCACACGCTTTCAGATTCTGGATAAACTGATAATGCACTCCTGTACACGAGAACACACATACTTTGTATACGCCACCTAAAGCATATAATATGATACTAGTATACACATAAAAGAACAAAACAGTTATATAAAAATAATAATAATAAAGTCTGATAAAACTGCGTTTCGTCTGCACAACATTAATGACAAGACTAATGGCATTGGGAAACTGACTAAAGTCTAAAAACATCTGGATAAATACCAAAGCTAAAATCTAGATATCATTTACAGAGCTCGTGTCTGTGTCAGGAAGATCTGTAAAAACACCATTACTGCTAGCAGCTAGGCTATCCGAGAGACGCAGGGCCTCAGAGAAACGACAGAGCACCTGCAACTCATTTATCCGTGTAATTTACACATCTTCGTGTCTAAAGTCATGGTTTACCGCTATCGTTTCAGTCATCCGTCCCATTCCCAATACATTAAATACAGTAAAGATTGATGGCTCTTTTCTCTGCACACATGCCTCTCTCACTCTCTGTCCATACATTCAGACAACAAAAGCAGCGCGTAAACTCACTCACCGGCGGCTGCTGAGGTGGAAATAAAAGCTGCTCTTGGCTTCTGGGATGACTCCACTACTGGCTTTGGATAAAGATTTGTTCATGAATCGCACGACAGGCCGTTTTGATCATGCAATGAGTTAGTGATCGTGCTGAATACTGGTGGATGAGCGCCTCTCCACCACAGGCTCAGGCGGTAATGAGGCAGTAACAACTACTGCGCATGCGCAGATCTCAACGGCGGACCAAGAGGGACTTTTTTCAAACGCTGAGATGATAGACAGACTGTACCGTGCACCATGTGGCAGATCGGTTTTTATAATGAGCTAGAGGCTTTTAGAAGCTCTTTTATCTTTTATTTACTTGTAAGCAGATCTACCAGACATTTTTGACTGTGTAATTATTATTCTAAACACGTAGCTATATCATCACACTATCAACAACAAAGAGGCATCAAAATATATCAATTTCCATTATAGTAAACAGAGACATGTATAAAGAAATGAATAAATAATTGTGATATAATGTGTTCCTGTTAGCGGGAAGTTGACAACAGGCTCTGAGTCTGAGTCCATATCTAAGATGTAAAGTGTGCCTTTCACAGAACCATGGTATAAAATTAAAGATACATGGATTTCAAACTGGAAGCCGAGGACCCCAAGGGGGCCACAAGAGGGTGCTAGAAAAAGAAAAAAAAACTTTCAATGAATGAATTGAAAGAAATAAAAAAAATCAAATATAAAATTATTCAAATAAATAAAATATAATAAAATAATATAATAAAATAATTAAAAAGGTCGGACTCGTACCAAAGAGCAGATGGTTTGGCGTTGGACATAGCGCGCCAATGCGCATGCGCACAACACTCCGTGTACCTCATCTCTGTGCTGCTGCCCAGCCTCCAAACAAGCGACGAGCCACTGAGATTACCACACGCTAGCCCTTCTCCTGAAGCCCCTGAGTGAGTAATGTGCTACATTTTTATTTAAGCAACGCATTTTAACATAGTAATATCAATTTTATGTCAATATTTTAATAGAGTTCGCGTTCAATTAGTGAATCTCACGAGAAGCCGTTAGCAAGTGGCTAGTTGTTTTCAACAAAGCGACAGTCCAACAAAGCCTCGCTGAAATAACATGGGCAAATTCACTTGTTTGCCCGCTACGCCGTTATATGCCTCTTTATTTATTTATAATCTCTATTTCTGTATATTACGTTTGGATGTGCGTGAATTACAGGGACTTGGGAAGGTGTTTAGGCGGTCAGTGTGGATGCTAACTCCGTTAGCCAGCTGCTGCTGCGCGCCATCTTTACGTGAGAGACTGACTGTGTGCTAAAGCTAATCAGCTGCTCCGTTCAGAGCGCCCGCTCTATTTCCCTCCACCACATGCACAAATACAACAGGAGGCATTTATTTCGTAAATATGCTGACTTATGGCTATGTTTGTGGTCGGAGGCTAGAGGAATATGAAGGATGTGTTGGAAATAATTCAGTTTGATTAATTGCTCTCATAGTTGTGGTATATGTGTGAAGCAGTTAACTTGGATGATAATTAATCTAGTGGTGGATATAGCCGTCTAAGTTTAAATACTTTAGCTGTTGTGTTTTTTGAAATTATTTTTGAAAAGAGCTAATTTTATTTGGAAGTAATAAGTGGACCTAACTTAGTCCGGTGGGGCAGCATGATTGTTTACGCGGTAATTCTGCGACTGCTGCAGTGGTTTCAAACTAAACACATGTGCGCTCATTAAGATTAGCTGATGAAAATGTGTAGTTTAGATATGTAGTTCACACTATTGTCATCACTTATTCATACCCCTATGACTTTTTTTCTTCTTAGAAAAAAGTCTAAGTCACCATTTACTTAAATGTAATCTTTATTTTTTTTCTCCGTATAATAAGTGAATGGTGACTAAGACTGTCATTCTTCCTTTTGTATTCTACAAACAACAGTAAGTCATGTAGGCTTGGAACAACAAAAAGATTAAATCACGACAGAATTTTCTTAAGTAAATGCTTTCAGGATGGATTTGAAAATAGGGTGTTATTTGACATGTCAACAGCAGAAACCACCACTGTAGTGAAGTGACGTGATGTGGCCAATTATGGTGACCCATACTAGGAATTAGTGCTCTGCATTTAACCCATTCAAAGTGCACACACACAGCAGTGATCACACACACACTGTGAACACACACCCGGAGCAGTGGGCAGCCATTTTTTTGCTGCGGCGCCCGGGGAGCAGTTGGGGGTTCAGTACCTTGCTCAATACCTCAGTCGTGGTATTGAAGGTGGGAGAGAGCCTGTACATTCACTCCCCCCACCTACAATCCCTGCCGGTATGAGACTCGAACCCGTAACCTTTGGGTTATGAGTCCGACTCTCTAACCATTAGGCCACGACTTCCCTGTGTTAATATATTAATAGCTCCGTTTTTACACATGGGATTGTTTACAAATTGAGACCCAGTTGTTTGTTTTGAGGAGAGTGGTCTGACATGAAAATACACTATGCCCTTATGAATTGGCTCATCCATGCATGTTTCTTTGAAAAAAATGTTTAAACCTTTTTTTTTTTTTCTTCAAAATGTCATAAGTTGATCTTAAGGTGAATGGATATACTTCACTGTGGTGATGTCACTTGTTTAAAAAAATAAATAAAAAATCTATAATACAGAGTCTTGTACAGTATGGAATCTGTGCATGTCATAGCTGACTCTCTGTTCAGCTTAAAACATGATTGGCTAGACTATGTATTTGCTCAAAGACTGGCTTCCAGAAAACCTGAAAGTGTTTATTTTGATATGTTACAGCCAGTTATGTATTTTACATGTTGTTATTAGTATTATTGGTGTTTATTAGATTGTAATTGTGTTGTTTGGGTGTTTTGACGTGTATTGATGGCATTGTACATTATGGGCTGCAAGGCAATTTTTGGGAAAAGTTCTGACAGTAAAATTTAAATAGAAAATTAGATGTATGCCAGACTTTTCCAGTCATTTATTCTGCTTAAACCCCATCCCTTTCATATAATCGACTGCAAGCTCACATTCAGATCTGTCTCCAACTAATCAACCTGTAGATTTGTTATTTTCTGATAATGTTTCACTTGAATGTACCTCAACGCATAAGGCACACAAAAAATGTCGCTGCTCTCAATTCATTGTTACTTCTAAAGTGATTTTTAATGCAGTTGCAGTATTGTGTAAACAGCATAATGCTTTTATGACTTATGTAGTGTTTCTTGTTTTTAGGTCAAAGGTCGGGTCCTGCAATGGGATGTGGTCCCTCTCAGATGACTGAAGAGCTTAAAGAGAGAGAAACCGAAAAACATAAAGAGAAAGCACATTGAGAATCAAAAATAAGTCTGCCTGTGCAGAGTAATAAAGATCCCTTCCCCATTAAGCTGTTTTCCCCCTTTTCACCAAAATGTCAGCGGTCACTTCAGCAACCCCAGAAGCTCCTGCCACCACCAACCCTCCTCCACCTGAGGCGACCAACCCTACCAAACCTGGCCGCAAGACTAACCAGCTACAGTACATGCAAAATGTAGTTGTCAAGACACTGTGGAGGCACCAGTTTGCATGGCCTTTCTACCAGCCTGTTGATGCCCTTAAACTTGGTCTTCCGGTGAGTGGATGTGATAGAAAACATTCAATGTAATATACATGTAGTTATTTTACAGTCCATCATTTTGAATAAAATAATTAATAAAATGATTTGTAATTTTACAAATCTAGGTTCTGTTAATTGAGTTTTCCTTTGAGAATGAGAGCTTGTCATTTAGTTGATCCGGTTTGGTTTTATATTAGTATGTGACGTTGAAGCTTTAGTTTGTTTTAAAGACTTTCTGCCCTTTTTTTTTTTTTTTGGTGTCCAGGACTATCACACGATCATAAAGAATCCAATGGACATGGGCACCATCAAGAAAAGACTGGAGAATGTGTACTACTGGAGTGCAAGCGAGTGTATGCAAGATTTCAACACGATGTTCACAAACTGTTATATTTACAACAAGGTATGGATTGGCACAATCTGGTTTAAAACTCAACATGATTACACTGTACATGTTTGGAGGAGAGGCTGCTTTGGCAAATGCAATCCATGTTTATTCCTTGTTGATTTTCCCAGCCTACAGATGACATTGTGTTGATGGCACAAGCGTTAGAGAAGATCTTCCTTCAGAAGGTGGCCCTGATGCCTCAGGAGGAGGTTGAGCTTCTTCCTCCTGCCCCAAAGGGCAAAGGCCGCAAACCAGCAGGGCCTGGTAAAATATAAATAGTCTGCATGATGAATTGATCATAACATTCTACATTCGTGCATTAGCAGAAAACAAATAATTATTTTTCTAATAATATAAATGCAGGTCAGCAGGATGGGTCAGTCTCTTCTGGCTCGCCCACTTCTGTTTTCCCTGATGCCACCTCACCCAGTTCACAGACAGCAGTCGTATCTCCAGCTCCAGTGCCCACCATCACTCCTAGCTTACCAGCTGTACAGAGCACAACCACTGCTGCCGTGATACCTGGCATGCCTCCGTCGCAACCCACGATCAAAGTAAGTTTCAGGACCTCTCAGAATATCACTCAATATAAATACACTGACATTGCCTCACCATCGGCTTTGTCTCCCCTGTTTGGTTTATTTTTGTTTCCTAGAAGAAGGGGGTAAAGAGGAAAGCAGACACAACCACCCCTACTACCTCTGCCATCACCGCCAGCAGGAGCCAGTCACCCACCCCTCTTTCAGAAGGCAAACAGGGCAAGATGGCATCCAGGCGAGAGAGCACCGGTCGCCCCATCAAACCCCCTAAAAAGGATTTTGAGGATGGAGAACTAGGCGTACACGGAAGCAAAAAGGGCAGGCTTTCAGAGCAGCTCAAGTACTGCGAGGTCATCCTTAAAGAAATGCTTTCGAAAAAGCATGCTGCATATGCCTGGCCTTTTTACAAGCCTGTCGACGCAGAGGCTCTCGAGCTACATGACTACCATGACATAATCAAACACCCCATGGACTTGAGCACAGTGAAAGTACGTTGAATTTGCACATGAAGTTGTAATGCCCTTTTTTAAAACTTTTGTTACAAGGAATTGTGGTTCAGCTAGTTAATGAATCTTTTTTTTTTTTTTTTTCCCCCTTGCAGAAAAAAATAGACAGTCGAGAATTCCAAGATGCACAGAGTTTTGCTGCAGATGTCAGATTAATGTTCTCAAATTGTTACAAGTACAACCCACCTGATCATGAGGTGGTTGCTATGGCCAGAAAGCTGCAGGTGTGTGTTTTTTCCCCCCCATCTAATTTGGCAATGTCTTCTAATTTATTTATTTAAAATATTGAATTGATTAATGGGATTGTTTTTTTTTTTTTTTTTTGTCTCAGGATGTGTTTGAAATGCGTTTTGCAAAAATGCCTGATGAGCCAGTGGAGGTGGCCGGGGCAGGCGGTGTAGGTGGGGCCGGTGTGGTCAGTAAGAGTACTGTCAGCAGTGAGAGCAGTGGCGACTCCTCCACCTCTGACAGCTCCGACTCCGAGGAGGAGAGGGCCACCCGGCTCGCCGAGCTGCAGGAACAGGTGGGTGCGGAACAGGTGGGTTTCAAAACAAGGATCAAGTACCCTTAACCTCTCCAGGCTCAGAGATGTTCTCTCAGGCCTCCCGATATGTGTCGGCCCTTCTGATTATCCTTTTCACACCATATCCACATATGACTACTTCAATCAATGTTCATGCTCTGAAGGACCCGGAGGGGCTTCCACTTAAAATAACCCCTCCTCTTCTTTCACAGCAAGCACCTTTCTGTGTACTTGTACGTAGAGCTGCGTTTTAACCCTCTACCGCAATCAGCTGCATTGCATCCCAGAATGCCTAAACGTAGATCTAGTAGCATTTTTTGTGGCTTTGTTTGTCTTATTTGAGCTCTATATCATACTTTCTTCCCTTGCCATTTTCTTTACCAGTGTATCTCTTTGGAGCACCCCATTGGTAGCAGACAGGGGATAAAAAACGGGTGCACCAAGAATAATCAGGTGATTTTACTTTTCATTTCCCTGTCCCTGCCTATGAACATTGTGTAATAGCTGTACAGTTGCTTTCATTTTTTGTATTAGAAGATCAAGCGTATGATATGGATAGTGAGATCAGCGGTAGAGGGTTAAAAGCAGCAGAAAAATATTGACTTTGTTGGGTGGTGTTGGGAATCCAGCTGTGTATGTTTAGAATGGAAGTGCTTGAAGTTTTGGAAATGAATAGATAAAAGTGTGTGTGTTTGTGGAGCGAGAACTTTGTTCATGTTGGCTTACTTTGCATTTAGACAAACTTGCTAGTTCCAGAAAATAGTGCGACGCTCTAACTGCCCTTTATCTACATTTATGCCAATAATATGTATTTATAAGGACTGTTTTCATAGCATGAGACACTAGTCGGGTGGTATTCTTCTATTCTTACAATGGCTTTGTGGTTAATAGGGGTGTAACGGTCTGGCATTGTCACTGTTTTGGTTTGTTCTGTAAATATCAGTTATGCTGGTATGCATCAGAACAGAGATACTGATAATCTGCATTGTAATGCTGTTATTGCCAATATCAGTTTAATTGGTTGTGATTTGTTTTTCATTGAGCCATATTTAGTAAACAGCAGAGGCATTGCTAGGCACAAATGGTTTGTGTAGTTTTTAAAAAATATGTAAATGTAACCATTTTACTTCTAGTTGTAAAGGGCCAAATTGCTTCTAAAACCTTATGTCCTATTCGTGATATTCTTTTCATTCTGTTTTATTCTGACATGTACTCTATTCTTGGAATCACAGATAATAACGGGCATGAATGATTTTTTGTTGTCCAGTGTTAAGAATTTTGGAAGATACTATATTTAATTAATAAATAATAATAATAATAATAATAATAAATAATATAACTGTGGTTACTATTGTATTAACACAATTATTATTACTGTATTTTAGTAATGGCAGCTGTTTTGCATGTTTTGTTTTATAATTGAATACATTTGTTTCTTTGGCACTGGAAAACCAAACTGTATGAAGTCTTTAGTTCTCTTTGATAATCGAATATAAATGTTATGTACAATAAGTGATGACTTGGAGCAGATCACTAACACCCCCTTCTTGGCTCTCCCCAGCTGAAGGCAGTCCACGAACAGTTAGCCGCTCTTTCTCAGGCCCCCGTAAGTAAACCAAAGAAAAAGAAAGAGAAGAAAGAAAAAGAAAAGAAAAAGAATGAGAACAAGCACAACAAATCCAAGCCAGAGGAAAAAGGCAAGCCAGGACAGCCACCGAAACCAGCCCAGCAGAAAAAGGGTCCTGCCAGAAAGGCTAACAGCACTGTACCAGGCAACAGGTTTGCTTTTTTTTTTTTGTGATGATCTGGGTTTGTTTTATGGATTCAATCTAAAACAATCAATTAAAGAAATATGATAGAGCATATGGTTTCAATAAGGTTACCATTAGATCCAAGGTTTTTCATTCTTGGCATTCATCCAGAAAATTGGAATATTAAAAAGGATAATCAAGTATTGATAGATATGTGCATTTTACATGGCAAAAGACTCCTAGTCATTTATTGGAAAAAGACAGAAAGGCCTACCATAACTCATTGGTTAAGAGAAATATCTTCATGCATTGCAATGGAAAAGATAACCTATATGCTTAAGGGTAAACAAGCTAAATTTAAGAAAATCTGGAGTCCATTTTTATTATTTATTGAATGTAGGGATATTAACAATATTATAGAGGATAAAAATTCTTGATTGGGTATTTAAATATATTTTAATGTGCATTATATTAACCCCTTACAACTGCGGTTGTTATTGTTTGCAATTAATTATTAAATCTAACTTCCAGTATTAACCCTTTGTTGGTTTTGTGCTTTACACTTTTTATGTAATATGAGCCCATAGTGTTTGTTTTTTCTTTTCTGTACATAGTAAGTATTGTGGACACAGTATGTACATGTGTCAGTCTTGTGTTTCTAGAAAATGTAATAAAAATAATATATATATATAAAAAAAAAGGCAATTAAGGTCTAAAGAGTTTCTGCTGTTTGGATGGAACCTTCACAGGCAACCAAAGAAGGGTGGCAGAGGGCCAGGCTACGAGTCTGATGAGGAGATGTCGCTCCCCATGACGTACGATGAAAAACGGCAACTGAGCCTCGACATCAACCGGCTGCCTGGAGAGAAGTTGGGCAGGGTGGTCCACATCATTCAGTCCAGAGAGCCTTCGCTGCGGGATTCCAACCCTGACGAAATCGAAATTGATTTTGAGACGCTCAAACCTTCCACTTTGCGTGAGCTGGAGCGATATGTCAAGTCCTGTTTACAGAGGAAACAGAGGAAACCTCCACGTAAGTGCGCACTCTTGGCCTACACGCATAGCTAGATGCCAGACTGCACTGCTGCCACTGTATTTAAGAAATTATCAAAATATGTCAACTTTCTGACTTAATGTTTTGAATTGCTTTCTTCTATTTAAAACTGATAGGGTTTATCAGCATATGAAATGTATTGCTTTTTAAATTTTTATTTATTAAATGTATTGCTAATCACCGTGCATTTTGTTCATTTCACAAATGTTTCCTGCTTTTGGTTTGCTATGTAAATGCAGACAATTCTGTAACCACTGTCTCTCTCTCTCTTTGGTCTCAGAGAAAGGAGGCTCAGGCCCCTCTCGGCTCAGTGGCAGCAGTAGTTCCTCAGACTCGGGCAGCAGCAGCTCCAGTGGTTCCACTTCAGATAGCAGTGACTCCGACTGAACACTTTTTATTTACTTTTTTATTTTTTTAAAAACATTGTACGCAGTCGAGGTTGTTTCCCCTCTGAGACTTTTTATAAGAAAGAGAAAGAAAAGAGACAATAAAAATGCATCATGTCAGATTTTTTTTTTTTCCATTTGGAAATGTCGTGAAGACTCTAAAAGGGATGTCCAAACTTAAAACTGCAAGGAAAGGAAGTCTTGAAACATACTTTACAGTTCAAATTATTTTCCCTGGTGTCCTGGTAATGTTGTACGTTACCATTGCAAACATAAGCCATCCCATCTCAAGAGCGGAAAACGGAAAGCTCACACTCTTCTCTCCAGATTTGACTTCTGTACCAGTCTGTTGTATTTATTGTTTTTTATTATTATTATTTTGTTTATGCTGTGGCCTCATATTTTCCCCATTGGGTACTGTGCCATTATTGATTTATTTCTTCTTTGCGTTATTGTTCTCTCATAAACTGAGAAGTGTCAACATTTAGGTAGTCTGGGGAACAAATTGCTTTAATTAGGCATAAAAAGCTCTCGAAATTTAATTTGGCCATTATTATAGCTGTAGAACAATATTAAAACAGAATCCTATACTCTTCAGCTAATATATGGTTTAGGCAAATATTTTAATGGGACTCTAGGTAGATTTGGTGGTTTTGTACAGATGATTTACAATGACGTGAACATGTGAATCAGTAAACTGGATCACATGCAGACTTCCTGTCTTATTAAACACCTTGGCCAGCAATAAATATACAGATTTCCAAATAGTCACACCAATGACTGACATTTGTACATCAGATAACTTTAGATAAGGCTAGAAGTGTTGATGTGGATGTTGACACCTGGAAGCAGTAAATGTCATTTGTATCTTGATCTATACTGCCATGTTATAATAATGCTAATTATGATGCATTTCTTAATGTTTATTTCAAGTGTTTTGACAATGGTAGTTAAATCACAGAGTCTTCCTCTTCTCACTCTCTTGCAAAATTGATTCATGAATCTTAAGTCTACAATAGATCTTATGAATACTTCCAATCAGTTGGGTTTCAAACAAGTTATTTTCCTTAATTGAAGTTTCCCAGCCATTCCTTCTGTGGATTGCTTTTCTATCCGATATCTCTTAGAATAAATATGCGTTTGATTATTTTCTTAAGTGTTTGTAAGCTATTGTAATGTCCTCTCCATTTACTTTTTTTTTAAAGAAAAAAACAAAACAATTGTAAAAGGAACTGATATTGGTTTAATTTTCGGATACATTTGGTTTATGGACGAGGGTTTTGAAGACTTTTGGGACATAATTGCAGGAACACTTAATTTTGTAATTTGAAGAAGCTAAAATTTATGAGGGACATGTATCTTTCAGACTAATTAAAACACTAATAGACATAGTCAAAACATACTTATTTTAAGGTTAATCATGTTAATGATTTTGTTGTCAGTCTTTGGTTGCACATAACTACAAGTAATTTCTGAGTGTGATACAAATATTGATCAAGTCCTTTCTGGTTTCTTAAGAATGATTTCTTTTAGAGACGGGCTGGAAAAAAAAGAAAAAGTATATGACTATATAGATAAATTATATATATAAATATACAACTTAATTTCATTTTAGGCCCTGATTTGAAAAAGTTCCTTTTATATTTAAAACAAAAATTTTACTTTTTTTGACATGCATGCTGATTTATTGTATTTTTCTTAAAAAAACAAAACAAAAAAAACATTGAGTTGTTTATAGTTATACTGTAAATGTCAGTCATGGAAACAACAAAATCAAGAATACAGTGTGAGTAGATTTAGGCATGTTTATTGCGATACGGGCCAGAGGGTTGGGGCGTTGGGTCGGAGGCATTGGTAGAGGCTAACATTTGATGTATTTGCCTACCTGGAATGTCTTGTACACCGGGTAATTTTTTTTTTCATAAAATAAATGACAAATTGCCTTTTAATTTGTGTTTACTTTCAATTTTTGCTCTTGTTTTATGTGGACATGCCTCCTTTTGCGGTTTACCATAAAAAATATTTTTATTCATAGCTTATAATTTGATTAGTTCTAATATAGAACAGAACATAAGAATGGTAATGCACTTCATGGATATTCTGAGATTTGGTAAAACTAGTCAAATCTTTCTATGACAAGTGTCATCATGTGAGTACATGACCACCGAAATACCACCACTGACCACTAGATGGTAACAGTGTCCCATTTCTGCTAGAGTTGATGTCTGGTATGATTGCTAGTTTTAATGTTACAAATTAATACAATAATCCTCCCAAAAAATTATTAAAAAAGAATAACTACTAGTGTTAGAGTCTTCTGTCACATACATTTCAGTTCCTGTAAGGAGATTTCACCAACTCAAAATGCTGATACTGATTAATAGGGAGTAACAGAAGTGATACTGTCCCAATCATTTATTCAGTTAAACATGTATTCTGTACATCCTTAGGGTTTATAATAAAACTTTCTGAGGTGAGGAACATGTGACCTTTTGCTGCGGTGTTTAGAATATGGCCCCCACTAACACAATACTGCAGAGGCCAAGATGGATCAATGCTTTGAGTCTTGTGACAGCTACTCACATCTGTCTCAAAAAGCCATCTTTCATCCTAAATGTGCTTTAACCAGTTTTCATATTGGTCCCAGGGCAAAATAGTCACACTACAGCAAATTTTCCATCAAGACGAGCAAAACATACACGTCTCATCTATGTAAATACTTTTACTGAGGTGAATTTGAGGGTCCCCGTAAAAATGGAGTGAGATTTTTACTATGTTACAGGAATAAAAAGTGGACGTGTATTTGGATTGCACATGTGCTCTATAAATTACATGGCACACATATTAAGCTGATCAAGACTATATTAGAGTGATGGGCAAACTTGGCCCTTCCAGGCCACTTTCCTGCAGAGATTTGATCCAACCCTGATAAAACTCACCTGCCTGTAGCCTTCTAGTAGTCTTGAAGACAATGATTAGCTGGTTCAGGTGTGTTTGATTAGAGTTGGAGCTAAACTCTGCAGGAAAGTAACCTGGAAGGGCCAAGCTTGCCCACCCCTGCTATATTACATGATTGAAGGCTCCCAGGAAATCTTATCAAACCTATTCATATAAAAAGCAGTCTGGATTACATAGCAATAGCAAAAATAATATGTGAATCATTACAGTTGTTACGATCATTTAATTATAATTTAATATTTTAAACCGTTGAATCTAAAACTGTCCGTGTATTTTTGAATGTTCAGTCAGCCAGTCATTTTTACCGTCATGTAAAAAAACATTGGAAAACATTTGACATTTTCCTCACATGTTCGTATTTACTGCGATGTCTCCAGAATTTCCTAAATAATAATAATTTAAAAAAGGCTTTCTGGTATTTTAGTGCGACCGACCCTCTCCTCCTCCTCACACGTGGACGAGCGCGACCGGAACCCAGATGCGATTGCGATCTCTCCGCCGCGCGCCCATTCTCCCGCTCCGCGCGCGCTCACGCTTGCTCGCACTCACGGCTCACGCGAGCGGAGAAATCAAAACACTCAACCCGTCTGTCGTTACACGGAGATGAACTGAGAAACAACCGAGAAACCTTCGCGATTCGAGGCACGACTGTCCAGCACCAAGACCTCGCGGCGTTTCTCTTTCTGTGGAAGCGAAAGGAGCGGGACGAACGACAGCTTTCGCGTTAAATACGCCAGGGTTTGTGCGTTTCACCGAACGCTGTGATATTTCCCTCAAGAAGTTTTTAAAACAAGTTTGGACCGGATTCTGTTTGGAGTTCACATCCCGCCTTGGTGCGCGAGCGCTTGTGAGGAGCTTTCTACTGAAGACTACAAAACATGGATTTATTCTTTATTTTAAGCGTAAAACTTTGATAACCCGTCCGAGATCGCGTGTAACGGCTGCTTTGCAGCATTTATTGTTAAGGAACATATCTATTGTAGTCTTGAGAGACATTTTTTGCTGTGACAGGACGCGTTTACAGAGCCAAATATGTCAGTCCATGATGAAGAAGAGGAAACTCGTCTGATTCTCTGAAGGGAAACGTATCTAAATCATATTTTAACATCATACTGTACGATATTTCTTCGAGTTCTCCTTTAATTTAGCTTCCTAATTTGATTATTTCGTTGTACAAAGTGTGTAGCTCTGTAGTGGATCGCACTAGATTTAATTCGTTAAAAAAAGTTGTTAAGCGTATATCCTTGTGAAGATCGTTCTCACGCAATTGACCTTAGGCACTTTAGTGCCCTTTGGACTAAAGAGGAACTGGGATAATTTCACATCAGCATTACCTTGGTACGTGCGCCAGGCTGCCAGACATATAGTTTTATTTTTGCCAGTATTCTACATCATTTCTGTCAATATGGAGGAGTGGAGACAGTGCGGTCGCTGGTTGATAGACTGTAAGGTTTTGCCCCCCAACCACCGGGTCGTTTGGCCCTCAGCGGTGGTGTTTGACCTGGCCCAGGCGCTTAGAGATGGGGTGCTCCTGTGCCAGATGCTGCACAATCTGTCTCCTGGATCCGTGGACCTAAAGCAGATCAACTTCCGGCCTCAGATGTCACAGGTAAGTTAATGTTCACGACTGTGCTTTTTAATGGCTGTATTTTAATGCTTGTCACATATGCAGGAATGATTGACGATAGCATTGACAGCCGGAGAATATGCAGTGTTGTTCTAATAGATTGCCACTCCAAATGTATCAACAGGGGTCGTTGTCGAGCATTAATGGCTGAGCAATTACAAATAGAACTGTCACAATCGATTAATAGAAAATGTTATCTGATCTAAACCTTTTGATGTTTTAGAGAGCCATTCTCATTGTTTAAGATGTTGAAATCTTTCTTTTGAAATCTTAAGTGTCATTTTAGGGTCTCCCAAACAGCAAGCAGTTGAATGCAAAGCACACACACAGTTGTCTTTTAAACTTTCCTTTGATAAAAGCATGTAAGTATTTATAGCTGAACATCCTTTGTATCACTGTACATACTGCATAGAAGTTTGATCATCTGAAAGTAAGTATATGAGGCTGTGCAGGGTTTAAAGGTGAATGTTAAGAAAGGGCCAAGGCTCTTATCTCTGTAAACATAAACCAGGAAAAGCAGCAAGTTCTTTGTGGGTTTCAGGAATGTGGATTTCAGCCAGTGCTCTTTGCAAGGAATGTGTGGCAAAGGCAGTTCCTACCCGTAAATATGACGTGGCTGAGAAGCATGATGTAGCCATTTGTAAGTGTTGACTGTTTTGAGAGGTTTTAAACACATGTCTCACTGTGTCTCCCACCCCCTCTGCATGTCTTGTCAGTATTGAATTGGGTTTCTGTCCAGAAATTAAACCCTTATGTCATGTAGTCTACATAACTGTGCTGTAAAAATTTAAATTTGCATTGGTGTCTTCTTTTAAAACATGTAAATATTAAGATAAACATTTATCCTTATTTTGTACATTAGTTTTTGCTTCCAAATCTTTAGTATCGTGGTCCTTCAGCTTTTAAATTCCTGCAGTGATTTGCAGATTTATGGGTAGTTGACAAATACTTTTGAAAGTTTGACGTCATGCAGTATAACAGGAAATGTGACATGTCATGCAGTATGACAAGTTATACTTGGTTTAAAACTCTTTTAAACCTCATATTGCAAATTATTTTATAAATAATTTAAGCTATGTTTTTTTTTTACTTCTGCTTTATGGTGTTTGTCTGTAGGGCTGCAGTTTGGCCGAAAATTGTGTGATTGTCTGTATAGTAGTAATAATAATAATAATATTAAGAATAATAATGATAATTATTATTACTTTTTTGATAGAATGTTAATATTATGATCATTTTATTTATAATTTTGATATTCATTTAATTTATGGGCTCTTATCATAAAAAAGTTTGGGAAGATGGATGGCGCATGTTATATTTGACTCAAACTCAGAGTAGATGCAGAGATGAGTTTGCCGGGAGTAGCATTTGCTGTGAGTCGCTCTGAGACACTGAAAACACCAGATCATGAGCTGATCGCATGTAAATGATCAAAGTGCTGCGCTTCACTCTGAAACATGCAGCGCATATATTTAATTAAATTATAGCCTTTGTGATTTGATAATTACACTTAAGGGGTCATTCACACAGAACATGTTTTTGATTTGAAATGAGCAAGACACGTGCAGTGGAATGGGGGGAAAAAAAGCAAGCTTTCGAGACACATTTGAACTTTCATGTGCGAGAACTGTAAAAGACACAAGACTAGTGCAATGGACAAATGCATCCGTCTAGCATGTAGTTACATAGAAAAACAATGTAAAAGTAGCACAGTGGAATGGAAAAATGCGTTCTTTTTGAAAAGCCATATCACGAATTTGGTTTTATTTTGGTTATTTGTGCAGCCCTAGGGATGTTTAAAATGGTGATTTAAATGGTGAACTGTTACAGGACTCCTATACACTCATCCCTTACAGATTATTATAAATTGTGACCTAAAATCTTAATGTTGATTTAAAAAAGTCGATGCACACAGCCGCTTTGCAGATACAAACCTTTCTTTTCACAGCAAACTTGGACGGAATGGC